GATCAGTCTGATACATGCGAAGGGATACTAAGAAAGCACCTCTGATTTAATTTCTGGGATTTACACAATGTGAACTGAAGGCAACACAATGCTTGGCTCCCAACAGGACGCCTGGTGAGCAGAACAGATGGCTATATTAAAATGAAAAAATCCCTGAGCACAACTGGACCAGCCAAGAGCCTCCACAGAGGCTGAGGAGGGAGGACTGGCCCTGAACACTCAATTTTCCTTCTGCCTGCCGTATCCATGAAGAGGTTTACTATTACTTCTGTTCATGGAAAGCAGCCAGGATACTTCTTGTTGTGCCAAACTGGAGAAAAGCAGCCTTTGCCTCACCAAGTTCACAATGCAGTTACCTTGGGTGTCTCTTCTCTTGCACATGTGTGGCTGTGCCCAGAGCCATGAGCTGCCACACAAAACCCTGCAAGGGAATCCCAACCCATCAGGGGAGCAGGCATGTGGTAATCCTTGCTCTTCCCAGAGCTGCTGCTCTCAGTGCCTGGGCATGAGGGCTAAAAATGGTAAAATTTGCTCCCTTCATGCCAGGTGAAGTGGTCAGGAGCTGCAGGGAGTGAAGGAGAGTAGATAATAACTATGCCCTTAGAAGCAGAAGCATTGATTGAGGGCAAGGCTTTAATCCCTCTGCTTTCTTCCCACAGAAAGAGGGCTGTGCTCCTCTCCTGCTCTGCAAGGTGATGGTGACTGTCAGAGTGCTTTCACCTCCATCAGCCACTGCTCACAGGGTATTTCTAAAGCTGCTGACTGGCCAATGCTGGGGAAACATTGCCTGGGTTTTCCCTGGTGCCTGATGCTGTGTGTGGCTGGCTGCTCATGGCCGGGATCCCCGTGGTGGCTGTCTCTGTGCTCACCCCTCTGCATTTGTGTCTGTTTTCTTTGGCATTCTCCAGCATTTTACTTGGAAGGAATGGCCAATAATACAGCTCCTACTCAGATATCACCCTCTGACAGAGTTGCTTCCATAAAGATTATCATTCTTCTGCTCTGGAGCCTCATGCTGTTCCACTGCTTCTTTCAGGCTGTTCTCCCCTGGGGACAGGGTCACAAACCCCACAAAGTACACAGAGATTTGCAATAAGATCTGCTCTCTAATTCTTTTGCCGCCTAATCTGAAAAATGTGACAAGCAAACTGTTGATTTTGTAGAAATTTTCAAAAAGGTTTGTGCTCCCCTTGACCCAAAATCTGCCAGCTTTGAAAGAAATATTTAGATAAAGCTCCTCCAAAAGTTTACAGAAGAGAGTAGCTATTTCTTGTAAAAATAACAGCATGAAAAGCCCAAAGAATTTCTCTTGAAAACTAATTTTAGTGGCAATTTTTCAGGTAGTTTCAGTGAGCTGTGAAGCTCAGCATACCTTCTGGTACTAGAGTCTGATTTCACAGGCCTAGGGACCTGAGAGCTCCCTACAGCAAAATCAGAGGAAAAGTTGAAAAAGAAATATTAAAAAATCCATTATTTTTCTGCAGTAATATTGATCCTTCTTTCCATAAGAATTCCCACCAAAATTAAAAATAAAAATAGAAGTGAGAGTTCAATATCTGTGTGTGTGTGCACACTTTTGAGTAAGAATTAAGCCTTTGGCTTAGAAAACATAGATGGGCGCCTCACTCAACCCCTGAGGGGATCTGTATTGCTATGCTATGTTTACACAAGAGAAAAAGGAAAAGGGATTTTCCTGGGGTCAGACTGAAGCCAGCAGGGTCCTTGCAGGGAGAGAGGCTGCCTCATAGGGAAAGGTAAAACATCCAGAAATGAGACACAGGAAAGCAGCTCCAACACCAGTTCATCCAGCACTGCTGGATGATTGGGATGGAATTGTTCAGGTCCTCATTTCCCCACTCTCAGTAAGTGGGCAATAGTGATAGAGCCACCTCTGGGGACAAAAGTGCTGTTTCCAGCAGATGTGCTGGCTCTGCAGCCAGGCTTTCAAGATAGGCTTGGTGTGTGACTGCCAGATCCAGCTCTTTTCTTTACACAGAAGAAAAGGCAATGATCTCCACTTGCCTAAGGGGAATCCCTTCAAAGTGACTAGAAAGTAACCAGCTCTAACCTGGTGACATAAATCACTTTGGTGAGCTTCAGGTATGTCCTGTGACTCCACTTAAGGCTCTGTTTGCCAGAAGGGAATCACTGAATCTCCTCAGTGATTCCACATCACCTCCCACAGCTGTCTGTGCAATCCTCCGACAGGGGAACCCAGGTTGCTTATGAATCAGCTCCTGAGCTGCAGGAATTTATAGGACTGAACTTTAAAGAAAGCAAAAGCAGAAAAGGGGTTTGGAAAGCTTTGTGTGCATTCTGGCAGCTCAAAAGAAGTGTCCCAGTCATGCATTCACACCCCACAAACAGTGGTTCACAGGTGACAGTTATGGCACCAGCATCCCAAGCAAATCCCTCCTCCAGCATTAACCCAAATGCCAGCTCTCTGAACACTCCTGGTTTGTCCAAGCCTCTCCTTATTTGAGACATCAGGCTTCCATTCTCAGCTGCTGGACCAGATGGAACACTGAGGGCTAAATCCATAAAGAACCTGGATTTCTCTAACTTTTCTCTGCAGCATAAGGAGTCATGTGTCATGTGCTGGAGTGTGCCAAGAGAAGGGCCATGAAACTGGTGAAGGAGCCCAAATCTGATGGGGAGTGGCTGAGGGAGTTGGGGCTGCTCAGCCTGGAGAAGAGGAGGCTCAGGAGGGACCTTAAAGCTCTCTGCAACTGCCTGAGAGCAGGCTGTAGCCAGCTGGGTGTTTGGGGGCTGCCCATCACAAACCTTCAGCTTCCCAGATTCAAGTTTAGTGTCCACCTTCCATCATCCATTATCCTTTTGCAGATCCTTCTGGATCTGCCTGGACTGACAGAACTTTGAATCTGGAGTCACACCTTTTCCATTGTGAAGGTTTTCCAGTTCCAGTTGCTCCACATAGGAGAGAAGCACCTGCCTGTGTTTTCATGTCCCAGATAGGAACATGCCCTCACACTCATCCATGAGAGAAAAGTCCATGTCAAAGCTGTCTATTTTCACTGCCTGATCATCTGGGACACAGAGATCAGGATGTTGCAACTCTGTCCCATTTCACACTCAAGGTAAAGGAACATAAAGGCAGCTCAAAAGAAGGATGTGATTTCATTCAAAAAGAGCTCCTGACTTGCTGTATTTTTGTCCACGTAAGCAGCCAGAAACAGATGTCTCAGCCTCCTGGTACCAGTCACTCATTTACCAGCAGCTCTGCCCTGTTTGTACAGCTCCCTTGTTCTCAAACCCTTAACTCATCGTTACACAGAGATAAACTATCAATGCTCAGCCTTGTGATGCTGCAAGGAGGGGGGCTGATTCTTCAGGAATAAGGAAAACAGCACATGAGAGGGATCAAATCACCAACTCTGCACAATTTGGTATTAGTTCCTCTCTGTTCCAACAGGATCACATGCTTTTAGGCCATCTAAGGGGGAGCAGTCCCTCAAGACAGGTTTTAAAAATGCATTCACAGAACATGATCTTTTGCTGGCCTCCTTTCCTCAAGATGCCTCTATTCTGCCCTTGACACCACACTGTAATATTTAAGTCTCAAACACCTACACACAGCTTTGGAGTTTTTACCAGTTCTTTAGACTTCTACTTTTACTTCCTTTCAGTATCTTTCACCTTCCACCTTCCAGAGCAAGAAATATAGGCTTTGCAATGGAGCCATGTAACCACAGGACTGTCACTGTCAGAAACTGTAAGAACTAAATGCTTTGAGCTATCATTTAAAAAAACCCCAGCCAAACCAAAAGCCCTTTCCTACCCCAAGCTAGCCCCCTGTTAGGGATCACAGTTCACCAATAGTCCAAAACAGACACAGCCTTTCCTGCTTACATAGTCATACATGTCTTTGTCACATCAGGGTGACCACTAGACCAGGGCCACAACCCCCTTCCAAAATTCACCCCAATTTCAGCATCACACACACCCCACATACACTGCTCTCCCAGGATCACTGGCTTTGTTCCCACTTTCCCAAATCAAAGAAAGCCACTCTTGCCACTGTTTACCAATGATCATTGGTAAACACAACACTCAACCCAAAGAGAAGATCTGTCTCTAATCCCCTCTAAATTTGAGTCTTGTCTATGTCCTGAAGGAAGAGAATTTAATATTCCTTGCAAAATCCCTGGCTTTGGGATAATCTACATTATTGTAACTCTGGACAAGCTTGTTTTCCACAAATATACCCATATTTTTTTTAGCCTTGCTGAGCTCTTGATCACAGCAAGTATCTTGTGCCTATTAATACTGTTATAGATGGACAATGAGATTATTGGCTCTCACAAAAGACAACTATTGTGTGAATATTAAGAAAAGCTTTAGTGATGTATAGTTATGTTATTGTAGTTTAGATGTCCTCTGTTCTCCCCGTGGTTCCCTTTCCCCCCTGTATTGTTGCCATTAGACAGCAGGACAACGAGGTAGAAAGAAGGTGGGCACATGGGGCAGTTGGGAATGGAAAAATCTTGGTGCTTAGGGGATGCAGCAAGACAACACCTGACCTCCAATCCAGTTACAAGAAACCAGCCTCCACTGATAAATGGCACAGAAGAGCTGACTGACAGACTTTGGGAAGGGCCAGGGCTTGCTGATGCAACCCTCAGGGGTATAAAAGACTGAGCATCCATCTTGAAGATGAAGTGGCTGTGTGGTATCCATGAGGGGCAGTTCCCAGTGCTGCAGCTTTTTCCTTATTCAGTTCTTTGTTGCATTTTTGTTAAGGTTTAATAAACCTTTTTAAATTTTCAAAGTGAGCAGTTGTCTCTCACAATACCATGAGATTGTATGTACTCATTACCATGAGGCTACTGTGAGGGGACACGTTGGCTACTCTCAACACTTCTAAAACATGCAACTTTGACTCCTTCCCAGGCTTTCTAGATAAACCCCCGGGAGAAGCCAGCATATCCCACTGGACACAGGTGTGTCTGTTGGTTTAGTGATTCCTCCTGTCTCCCCAGGGCATGAATCCTCACCTGCGGGTCAACGGGCCCATGAACATCAACCACTACGCCACCAAGAAGAGCGTGGCAGAGAGCATGCTGGACGTGGCACTCTTCATGGCCAACGTCACCCAGCTCAAGGCTGTGCTGGAGCAGGGCACGTCCTTCCAGTACTATGCCACCCTCATCGTGCTCATCAGCATCTCCCTCTTCTTCCAGGTGATGATTGGGGTTCTCCTGATCATCACGGGTAAGGTGCCCACCGGGGCGTGTGTGCAGGGGCAGGGTGGGGGTGGAAGGGAGAAGCTTCTTCCCCCAAATCATTCCCCTCTGGCTCCATGCAGGGCTGGGTGTGGGTGGTAGGGTGGGCAGTGTTACTTAGAAAGGTGGGTGGGTTGTTTCTTGTTTGCACATCTCTGAGCACAACTCTTCCTTCACTTTGCCACTGCTGAGCCCCTGTATCAGGGAAAGAGTGGGGATTTGGCCAAGATGGGCCTCTTGCTGCACCTACTGTTATGTGCTCCTTCATGCAGCTCCTGCAGACACTCCATTTTAGCTGTATTTTATATTTTACTTCATCTGGGACTTAACAGAACAATTTTGGCAGAGGTATTACCTATATTTACCTCACATTTAACCAATCCCATAGTTGTCCTAGTGGCCTACAGACAGCACATTAACACCAGCATTGGTTTGCTGGTGCTAGCCCAGTGCTCCATCTGATACAGGAGTTGCTGTATTTCAGTCTCCAACAGATTCCCAGTATTAAAAACCTGCAAAGTGCTGCATTTTCCTGAATATCCTACATGGGTTTTTATGGGGGGACAGTGGATTGGAGGCTTTGGAAAACCTGTGACATGTTCCTCTGCTCCAGCCTTCTCTGTCATCCTAGAGCAAGCTGTGGCTCCTGCAGCATTCCTGTGACTACTCCCTCTGCTCTGTGGCCTCAGCACTCAGGGGCACCATGAACATTTACCAGGCAGGGGAGGCTTGCAAGAGCTGGGGGACTTGGAGTCAGTCTGCAAATCCCTTTCTCTTTTTGCACTGTATTGCACAGCTCGTTTGAACCTGAATGATATTGCAAAGCAACCCCGCCTGAACATACTCAACAACGCTGCCACAGCTCTCATCTTCATCACAGTCATCCTCAACATCTTCATCACAGCCTTCGGGGTGCAGAAGACTGGCCTCTACCCCAGCAGGAATTTTGGACCTTATTAATTCATGGGGCAATGGACTCAGGTAAGAAAGGGTGAGAGTTCCCATCGCTGCCAGCCCCTGGGAGGGATCTCAGTCTCAGAAAACATCACTGCAAGGTGGTGATGGCAAATTAACAAAGCCTTTCCAGAGGCATGTTGCTGTCCCACAAAAACCTGCAGCCATTGAGCAAATTCTCTCAGAGGAGGAGCTCTTCTCACTTGGTCTCTAAAGCAAGAACACCAAACATCCCAGTTGCTGGTATTTTGCAGCAACAAGTGGTTTTTGGAAGGCTGCAGAGTTCATGCTAGATACAAATAGCAGCTGTGGATGGGAGCTAATGTTGGGGAAGAAAACTAGGAGTGTTCTGGGAGGAATCCCAAGACAGCAGCACCATCTGAGCAGAAGAAAAGGAACGGGCAAGACACAGAGCTCTTTACAGCAGCCACTGTAGCTTGGCAGGGACTGTTTTAAGCACCTAATGCTCATTTTCAAGGAAGCCCTGTAAGTAAGTTCATCCAAATGGCTGGGTTTCCATGTCATGTCAGTGAGGGGATGACATGTTCATAAATAAAAAGCACTTTAGCTCAAGAAACAAAATTAATATTTCTTGTTTACACGACCTGCAAAATGTAAACACAGTTGAAATGCAACATACCAGAGGAGTCTGAGGTGACCTCACCAGAGCTTCTTGTCTCCCTGCAGGATCTGAGCAGTGCAGCTCTCCTCCACGTTTCCACTGACCTCAGCAGGATCCATGGATGAATCCAGGAAACTGGGTTAAACTTCAAAACTCTGTGTGTGTCATAACATATCAGCCCCTTGCTGTAATGCTTTTGCAGTTCTGAGGGGCAGGAACATTGCCTTTCCAAGCTAGAACAAACTTTGCAAGAGAAAACTGCAGCATCAGCAGCAGCAGGTATACATTTTGAAAGTGCAGTTCTGTAAATCTCTTCTCTTATTTTAGCTGCCTGCTTCACATATTCAATATTGGCTCATGTGGTAGAGAAGACTGAATGATTTACTTTGTAGGCTAAATAAATAAGTCCAGCTCTTTTTTGTCTCAAATGTAAGTTGGTGCCCTTAAAGCAATTCTATCTCATAGTTTACCTCCCGAATGTTGGAATGGATTTCTCTAAAAAAGTTTTCCTAGGAGAATAGAAGGGTGTGTGTACATGAAGATAGCTAGAACCAGTTCAAATCTTTTCCTAGTTGTTTAAAATCAAATGTTACATAGTTAAGAAAACAATCAGATATTTCCAGCACTGGGATGTTAACAAGGACAGAAAATAGTTATTGTGGTCTGATATCATCATCAGTGACCTATCAGGAACAATGTCAGAATAGCCTGACAATACTTAATGGAAAAAAGAAGATAAAAATGAAGATACATTATAATGAACAAACATTATACATAAGGCCACAGCCTAGGCTTATTGCTGCAATGAAAAATTACAGTTGAATAGCTTATTACATTATTTTAAAAATCACCATTATGATTTATTCTCATCACTAATATAAATGTTTTAAAATGTATTTGATTTATAATGACAGCTCTGGTAATTCTCTTGTATTAGAAGCATTTGTTTCCTTGAGAAAAAAAATCCTTTGAATTAATGAGTTTCAAGATTTTGATGAAAGAGTAAAAATTTTCAATCCTAAATTTTTTAACTCTATAGTCATGCTAAAAAATGGTATTTTAATAGCCTTATGTAAGCCTATTTAAATAATTACATGCTCTTTTGATTATTAAATGATTTTTCCACTGTACTGCAGAATCAGAGTTTAATATGGACTTTTCCTTTTGTATATCCTTGCCACCCCTGAGAGAGAAATGCCATGAAAGCATCCTCACATCAGTCTCCAGGAGCTACTGGGAGTGTCTGACTCTTAGAAACAGATACAGACAGATTTCATTTGTATTCTGTATTTGTCTTTACAAACCCAAATTTGTGTCAGTCACACAATGGTGCTTTTTCTGAGAGGGTGTGAATGATCCTGCCCAGGAACTGGTGGGTAAGGCCAGCAGCAGCTCAGCACCTGACACTGACACTGACTTTTCTGAGCTGAAGGAAAGTTGCACAACGAGGGCAGGATGGAAAATACTAGTTATGTATTTACCAGAACCTTAAGTGGTAGAGCTGAGCACAGCCTGAGATCTGTCAGGTGAAGCAGGCAGAGACTTGTCCTCCACTCTTCCTTGGGGATGACAGATCTGGGGTGACTCTGAGTTTGCTGCTCACCTTGGTTTCCTCAGTGTTTGCTTTGACTGGCAGCAGAGAGGGGAGGATGTTTCAGGGAAGCCTGTTATCCTGCCTCCTTTAGGAAAATGCCTCATTCTAGAGGTAGCATGTAGGCACAGCAAAACCACAAGCCAAGGGCTGCCAGCCACTGCTGACTGGGTTTGTGGAAAGGTAAAAAATTACATATCCTGCATGCAGACCCCAAACCCCAGGACTCACTGCTTCATGGAGCAGGAGGCACAGCAATTAGTGTGTTTTTTTTTTTTTTTTCAATTTTTTTTTTTTTTTTCAATTACTGATGGCTGAAGGTAAAGAGAGGGGAAAATAGAAAAGATTCATCTGGGAAAGAAGGATGAGGGGAATTTCATGAGCAGATCTTAACTTCATCATTGTTTCAGAGAGCTACTGGATCAGGTATGGCAGCATGTGAGGCCTCATGAGCAGAGGGGGCTCCCTGCCACTCACCCCAGGCAAGCAATAGGCTGGCAGCACACTGGAATGCTCTCCTTCCATCTCCTTCAATATTAATAATTTCTTGTTATAGTGAAATCATACTCATCAGCAACCTTTGCTGCCTTCTCCCCTCTTTGTGTGTGACTCCCATTGCTGCCAAGCTTTTGAGACTCAAAGAAGGCAGAGTTGAAGCAAAGATAGGCCAAAATTGAATTCAAATAAGCAGCTGCTGTGAAAGACCTGACCTCCCATTTGCAAAGGTCTAGGCTCCCACCTGTGGTCTTCTCCAGGAACTGTCCTCTGCTGGCCAGGAGAGCCACTGTGTTTTCCATGTTCTCTTATCACATCACACTCATGCTTTGTTGGAATGTGTATTTGTCCATTGTTTCCACCTTGTTTCACATGATAAACCCATGTAGACAGGAGGAAAACTGTTTTGTTGCCATCCCATTTTTCTAGAGGAGACTGAAGCAGGGCTAACCTTGCCCCCTGCATCTCCCACCCACCCCTTGCAGCAGAGCTCTTGCTGAGAGTGATCTCTCTGGTACTGCCTGTGCTTTCAGCTAATGAAAACAGAGGAGCACACCTGCATTCCAGTTCCTGCTGCACAGGGATGCAGGTGCAAGTGAACACACAGACAGAAGAGAGCTCTTGTAGGAAGACAATGTATTTATAAAACACGAGGGAGAATCTGAATATCCCCCAGCTCCAACAGAGAGGTGGCCCAGGAGTCATCGTGAAGGCACAGAGCCACTTTAAGGCAGGTACAAGTCAGATTTTCAACACAAGGCATTTGTATCTAAAAAACAATCAACTTCAGACATTTGTAGGCAATGAGGAGAGATGTTCATGCCGGGCAAACAATAAGACAATGATGAAACAAATAACAATTTTCACACATTACACTTTGCTCAGATTAAAATCCAGCCCTTCTTCACTCCCTTGGTGACCTGCAAAGCAAACCTGAGCACCACACTCCAGCCCTGAGTACACAGCCACATTTGTAGGCAGGGCCACCTCACACTTGGTGGCTCAGACTCCCCAGCCTGGTCACATCCTGCCCTGGAGAAGGTCTCTGCAGCATTGTCCATCATCTCCCCAGCCACAGAGCTTCCGGAGCAGCTTGCTCCTGGCCTGATGCAAGGAAAATCCTCTGCAACTGCCTTCCTCCAGCTGTCCAGGCAGGACACAGCCAGGATGCACATGAAGGCCAGAAACTCCAGCACAGCTTCCTAAAAAGATCCTGGTGACAGAAATGTGACCAACTGTTGAGGGGAGTCAGCTTCCTGGGCATGTCCTTTCACTGCATAGCTGAGGGATCTGCTCCTGCTGTGCTTCCTGCTCTCCCCCTCTTTGTGACTCTCTCTGGGGGGAAAAACTGCAGCTTGCTCTGGAAGAGGGGCAGCAGCCTCAGAGAGCAGCCCAGAGCTGCTCCTGCAAGGTTTGGTCTCACCTCCCAGTGAGGTCTCTGAGCATGTGGGCTGGAAGAGTTTTTATTCCCATGGGCTCTCCAAGCTCCTCCATGGAGACTGCCAGCCAGTGCCAATTAACATTAATCACATTTACTACTTGCTTGGATACCAACTGAGTATTCCCACTGGAAGTGAAGAACATTTGGGATGGCAGCTTTGACAGTGGGCAAACTGGCCATTACAAAAGTGGACTGAAAACCAGGAACTCCTTACGTCTCCATCAAGGAGTCCTCACGAGGTAGTTCTGCTTACCACTGGCCTGGCTTACAAGGTGGGAAGGAAGGAGTACAGCCACAGCTGAAAAATGGGGGCAAAATCCTCAAATTCTGCTGGCAGTGCTGCACTGAGAGGAGCACTCTGCTGTCCAGCCCACTCTTTGCTGGCTGTCCTCTGTGGTGGGGAAGACTCATGGCATTTATGCCAAGTGAGTTACCTTCTGGAGGCACCTAATTCTTGCCAGATGGAAACCAGCTGCTAACTTTAGGTGCTGCAGAGCACATCCACAGCCAGAAGTGAAAGCACATGGTACAAATAACTCCTCCTCCCCATGCTTGACTTCCAGGCTGCCCCCAAATCCAGCATTTCTCCATGTGCAGAGCAGGCACCATGGTGTTCCCAGCTGCTGCTGCTACAGCCTGGCCATGTCCAGGCACTTGCCCTCCCCAGAGCCTCTCCCCATTCCAGAGGCATTGCGTGACACAGCCAGCCTGGACAGGCTGTGCAGGCACAGTCCTGGAGTCTGGAAAGCAGCTCACCTACACACTCGAGGAGCTGTGCCTGTGTCTGAGGGAAGCACAGGCTCTGACTTGCACTGGGAGCATGACTGACACTGCACATTCCAGGGAGAAACAGAGCTTATTGCAACATTGCATCACAGGGCTCTGGTCTCACAAACTCCTATAATACTTCAAAAAAAGAGAAAAAATTCAAAAAAAGTTTTGACTGTTGTCAGCCTCTTCCCTCTCACACCAACTGCCATGATTTAATTTCTTAGTATCTGTGTGGGTAAAGTATTTCCCCTAAACAGGAAGACAACTCTGTCTTGGGCTGCCTCTTCTGGGATATTCAGTGTCTCCATTCTGGCAAAGGCTCCATGGATTCAGAGACACAGCCATCTCCAGCTGCACACTGCACAGCAGAACTTTCTGGTATCTGGTTGCCTTTTTCTAAATCCATCACTCACAAAACCCAGACTGATGCAAACAGATGATCTGACATGATTCCTATCTCACATGCCAGAACTTGTATGTTCAGTTTTCTACTGCAGTAGCGGAACTTGATGGACTTGTCAAGCACCACAGACACAGTAATAAATGAATGCCTATTCTGAACTGGCATCTACTCCATCAGCAAAGAGCAAAAAAGGTCTAGTACCAGCCAGCTTTGCTTGTATTCTGCATACATCCATTACTTCTTCGCAGCAACTCCTCACAGAACTGAGCACCATGAGCAGCATCCTATGTCCCACTGTCCCCTCAAGCTTGAGCCTTGTTCAGCATGGTATGGGGACACTGAAGCTGCACTGTAAAGCACTGAGTGAGCTGGGATTTCTGGGTTTAAACAGCCTTCTAAAATGGTTACAGGGTAAAAAAATCTTGCATTAGCAGGAGTTTTAGGTGATGGGACTTCCCTGTAGCACCAGGCCAGCTGTGGGCTCTCTCCACAGTTCCTCCATCAGTGACAGCATGGGTTTGCCCATCCTTTTGTTCACTCAATGCTCTTTTGTCCTCACTGTTTGTCATACCCAGTGCATGTGCCAAGACCTGAGGCCACCTCCTCCGTACCAGGCCAGAGCTTCCAGGGCTGCTCCAGAGCTGAAGCACCAACACCTGGGTTGCTTCTCCAACCAAGAAGCCTGCTCTATACTTAAGAGTCAAACTATGACAAGACACAACTGTGAGGCCATAACTTATTAAATTAACTTTTAGATGCTGCATAAATGTACAGGAATCTCAGAGGATTCTGAGATCAGAAGACTCTGTCTCCTCTTCTGACAAATCACAATACTTCAACTAATAAAATATTGCCACTTCTTCCCTGCTAGGGTTTCCCTGATATTGTTAGGACAAACACATGTCTGTCAGATAAGGCTGCAAAGTTCCTCCTGAGATGCTCTGTTAGCTTCTCTGTATAGCCTCTCCACTACCCTCAGGCAGTGGGTCAATAATTTAGGTGGAATTGTAACATCACCCTTGCCAGCTCACCTAGCTACAGGCAAACATGGCTCCTCTAAGGGAAATGTATTGACAACTCCATCCACAGCCCATAATTTGCTGAACATGAACACAATTTTTCATAATGACCAAACTGAAAAGCACAGAGAAACATCCAAGCACCAGCAGCCTAAAGTGCTTATCAGCTCCTCTGCATCCAGATTTCCTTAAGTCAGCACATGGGCATGTGGGTGCAATATAGATCAGAGAACTTTGGTCTCCTGTCCAAAATAATGGGTACTGAAGAGAAGGCAAAGGAGAGGAAATGGGGACGGCTGTGGTTTCTTTTCTGTTTTTCTTTTCCATTCAAGTTTTGAAAGAGAAGCTGCG